GGGGGAGGGGGGCAGAGGAGAAGAGGGAAAGGGAAGGAGCGGCCCCCAGCCCCCAAGGAGTGCGGCCCCCAAGGGGGTGGCTTGGGACTGGAGCCAGGAGGGCCGCCAACCACCGATACGGAGCCTATGCGGGACCAGGACGGGCAAACGTGTCACGTGCAAAATCGCGGTCTGGACGCAGCCTGCGACGGCCTCGGTGCCGACCAAGACGTATAGGAAGGACGAGCGCGCGAAGCCACCCTTGGCGATCGCAACAAAAAAAATGCCCCCAAAAGTCGGCAGCGGCGTCATTGGCAGGCCGGCGTCTCGGCAGGCGGCGCTCGGGGGAGTGGGAGGAGGGGGGGAAGGAGGAAAGGGAAGGGAGATGCCACTCATACCGAGATGCCGTGGTCCTGGTGCTGCTCCGCGTCGCGCTGCTCCGCGTCGGCGCACTGGTGCCTTTATGCCCACAGCTCCGCCAGCGTCCGTTCTGCGCTGCGGTGTCCGGCCGCGGCCTCCCTCAGCGCCTGCTGTAGAACTCGTAGAGCAGCTTCAGCTGGCATCCCGCTGTGGGCCCGGGCCACGTTGGAGGCGCGGTAAACAGCATAGGCGCCAAGCGCTCCGAGTACCAAGGTGTTCTCCTGAAGCTGGAAATCGCGCGCGCCCAACCAGTGTGGCAGCAACCACTCCGCCTCCAACCGAAGTGATGTGCGATGAAAGTGGCGGACAGTACAACAACGGTCGTAGTGCTCGATACTGTCCTCCGCTGCGCCGCCGCAGCCAAATCGACAGAGCTTGGTGGCATTCGCTCGACGTTGGAATCTCCGTTCAGTGCACCATCGGTTCCACGCAGCGCTGAACACCGCTGCGACGACGCGTGGGGGGACCAGGCCCCTCAGCAGCCCCATTCGCTGTTCGAAACGCGTGGCGGCATTCCTGGGCGTGCCTGGCAGCAGCCATCTGTCCAGCTTGTGCCGGATCTGGAAATGAGCTGGCGACCTATAACTGCGCCCGATGAGTTCTCTGGCGGCCGCCTGGAAGCTCTTCCCACCCCCGAGGGCCTCCGCGGCAATGCTGTCCCTCGTAATGCCACGTTGGCGGAGCGCGTGCTCATTCCGGATCAGAGCCGAAGGGATAGCTGCGACGAACCATTTGTCCCATAGCCCACGGCGTTGGGGGAAGTCTGTCTGGCCCAGAGCGTCCTGGAGCTGCAGACCCATGCCGTCGATCTGCAATCCACCGTGGGCGGAGTTCTCCAAGCATAGGACCCTCATCTGGCAGGCGCGCGCCATCGCCGCCACGGAGCCGAAGGAACGCGGCATGCCGTAGTGCTCCTTGAGGCCCCACAGATCCTCCTGCGTCGCCCAGTTGCCGGGCCCTGGCGCTGCCCTCCTGAGGGCCCATGCCTCTGCGTCCAATGCCTCTTCAGATGGGTTTGCCACCTGCGCAATGAATGAGAGCACGGGCAGCGCGTGCGTGTTGTACGCGGCGGTAGCGAAGTGGAGGCCCATAGTGTTCCAGGGCCACCCGCCCACCCTTTCGCGGAACTTCCGCACCGCAGAGCTCCAGAGCAGGTCCTCCTTGCTTGGCCCGACCGCGCAGCCCAAGTAAATCGCCGCCCGCTTCAGCGGAAGCTGCCCCCAAGCCGGGCATGCGCCTGCCACTGCTACTGCTGCGGACTCCAGCGAATCCTCCCGCAGAGGGATGCCCACCGTCTTTGGCAAGTTTACCGACATGCCGGAGAGATCTCCGAATTCGCGCAGAGCTTGCTCAAGTACTGGAAGCTGCTTCTCCACGCCTGTGAGAACGATACCCACGTCGTCGGCAAAAGCGCGGATCGCCACGTCGGGCCCCAGACGTTGGGCTAGAACGCGCAGCAGAAGATCCATCGCAGTCGCGAAAACCAGCGGTGACAGCGGGCAGAATTGGCGGATGCCCGAGCTCATGTTGAACCCAGGGTAATGGCGGCCCCCCACGGACATGGCGCAGCGTCCGTTGTCGTACAAGGCGTCTAAGACCCAGAGCGCCTCGATCGGCAGGCTGCGGATATGGATATACTCGGGCCCTGGGGGGGGGTCCTCCTCCTCCTCCTCCTCCTCCTCCTCCTCCTCCTCCTCCTCCTCCTCCTCCTCCTCCTCCTCCTCCTCCTCCTCCTCCTCCTCCTCGCGAATGATGGATGCACTCCTGGCGCTCCCTGCGGCCCCAAGACGGCCGGAGGACCGCCAGACGTGCCCCAGGACGCGGCCAGATCGACGCCGGCGCGCCTCAGGTGAAGTGAGAAGGGGCAGGCCTGCTCAGAAGGCTCGGAAGTTCACCGAGCCTTCCGAGAAGTCTCCTGAGCCTTCCCCGGAGACACAAGGGACTCCCCAGAGGGCGCGAGGGACTCTGAGGAGTCCCGCCGCCTTCTGAGAAGGCTTTCTCCTTCTCACTTCCCCCCTCGCTCGCCGCCGAACCCGAACACGCCCCAGAGCTCCTCAAGGGAGCTCCCACCGGCGAGAGCTCCAAGGGTCTATGACGAAAGCCCCCCAGATAGCTGCGACCCTCGGGGGCCTCTCACAACCAGTGTGTCGCACTGCTCTCGTGGCGGTGCTGCTCTTCCTCCTGATCCTCCCGCTCCCCTGACCCTTGCTCACCACACCCTCAAGACGAAGGCAGGACGAAGATAAAACCGTGTGGGAATAAGTCGGGGATCTCTCAGATCCGGCGGCTCTGGAGGCGGGCGCCACGGTCTTCTCAGAGCGTTATGCCCCCCCCCTGCCTATGGTCGATCATGGTGAGCCAGATCATGTCACCTAAAACTGGACACATGCCTGATCATACCAAAACACACCAGACCACAGGAGCCGACCTGGTCAGACTGGACCACAAGGGGAACAGACTGGGCCAGATCGGGAAGGCCCTCAGCAAAACAGAGAAAAGTGAGCTGCACAATGTGCTCTGGTTATTGCCCGCCAGCTAACGTGTGCAGGCGGCACTGGGGGAGGCATGAAAGAGGTGGAGGCGCAAGAAGGGGAGGTGGCGCAAGAACGGAAGGTGGAAGAAGGGGGAAGAAAAGCCTCCTCTTCTGTTCTACTCATGCCTCACATGAGCACAAGAGGGGGGATGAAGATTGTGATGGCGGGCCCTCGAGCGAAGCCCGATGGAGAAAGCGACGTTGAGAATAAGGACGCGCCACTTGAACGGTCACACTTCTTCAGATTATCGACAGTGCACACCCCGCTGTCCGCAATGAGATGGGTTCAACATTCTTACCGCATGAGATCCGCAAGATCAGACCAACACACGTGACACTACACCCGGCCACACTGGATTAGACCGCGAACGACCTGACAATATCAGACCACGCTACGCAGGGCCAGTGCACAGTTATGGGCAACCGCATGAGCCCTCCCCTGCAGGTCAGATTTCTGGAAAACTGGCTGGGATTCAGAAATCAAGGGTTGCCTGCAACCAAGTGAACACCAGCGGGGGGGTCCGATATCGAAGCGTCGATTGGACCCTCAGGGGTAGGATTCGCAAATGGTCGCAGAATGCTTCCACGGAGAGCTCGGTAGAATCGTCCTGCATCTAAGCTGATGCTGCACTGGCACAGTGGCGGGGTTTTCTGCAGCCAGCTAGATAATTTGTTTGCCTTTGTGGAATGTTCTGGAAGATCAGCGAGGCACTTCCCCCCAGCACTGGACAGTTCCGCCGTTACCCAGCTGAGAAGCTGGAAAATATACAAATCTACACGTGCGGAAGGTCCCAGCTGGAGCCAAGCAACCTCGCAAACAGACGTGGCAGAGTCGACGCACTGTCGCGCCGACGCATGTACACGCACAGCTCCACTGTGCGGTCGTTTGATGTGCGGATAGGGGGCTGCCGTGAGGAAACTGACACGGCGGAATGGAACTGAGAGCCAGGGATTGCCCGTGTGGACGTCGACGTGGAACCGAGAGCGATGGGGCTGGTGTGGACGTCACACGCGCCAACACACGCAAACCTCCCGTTCAGGTGCCGTGCACGCCTCGATCCCGACAGGGGAAACATGGTGCGCATGACGCTCGATTAAAAATCCTTGACGCGAACGGCGCGTCTCTGCCTCCTCCAGCTCGTCCTCATCCTACTCGTCATCTGCCTTCTCCTGCTGGACTCAAGCTGATTCCAGCTTGCGCATGGCCGGCGCTGGGTTGGTGTTGTACTTCCACAGGGCGGTGATTGTTTTCCAACCGAGCTTCAAGTCACCCACGACGTCGTTACCCTGGACCTTCTTGTACAGGTAGGAATCGAAAGTCACCTTCTGCACGTACTCCTCTTCGCACAGCTCCACGAAGCTCTCGCGGGCAGCGTCCGTGGTGTAGAAGACCCTCTGCAGGGCGTCGAGCACGGTGTAGGTGGGGCCGTACTGGTCATCGAACTTGGTTGTGTAGACCAGGAGGTCCTTCTCGTCGACCATCCTCGTGCCGTTCTCGGAGAACCGGACAATCTCTTCTGCGCACATGACGCCGCTCTTGGCCGCGAAGTAGATACCCTCGCCCGAGCACTTGGTGACGTAGCCGGCAGCGTCGCCGATCAGGGTGCAGCGGCCCTTCGTGCGCCTCGGGCGCGGGTGCTCCGGGATCGGGTGAGCCTCAACACGGATGATCTCCCCGCCCTCGATGCGAGGAGCGGCTCGTTCGCGGATGCCCTTCTGGTACATCTGGATGCCCTTCTTATCCACCACCGTGCCGGTGCCGACGGCAACGTGGTCATACTTGGGGAACACCCACGCGTAGAAATCTGGCGACACGTCCTCGCCGACGTACATCTCGGCCCTCTCCTTGTAGTACTCCATCTTGCCCTCATCGATGCGCATACGCTCCTGGAAGGCGATCGCGTACTCGTAGTCACCAGCGTCGATCAGCTTGGCCACTCGGCTGTTGGCACCGTCGGCCCCGATGACGACGTCGACCTCGAGCGTCTTCCTGGCGCCTTTGCGAGCGCTGCCCTCCTGGTCGCCCAGGTCGTTGTACTGCAGGACGTACGGGTCGCCGTCCTGCAGAGGCAGGTCCATGCCCATGAAAAGGCCGCTGATGACAGTGGCCCCGTTCTTCGCCGCCGTGTCCCGCAGGTGGCTGTCGAGCACCTCGCGCCGGACCATGCCGATGTACTCGTCGTCCTTCAGGGTCTGGCCAATCTGCACCTCCCTGTTCGAGGGCGAGATCATGGTCATCTTGCGCACCCGCCGGTCGATCAGCTCCTGCGGCAGGCCGAACTCCCCCACCATGCAGAGCGGGATCGCCCCCCCACAGGGCTTGCAGTTGTCCAGCTTCCTCTCGATCAGGTACGTCTCCACGCCGCCCTCCGCCAACTTCCACGCGCACGACGCGCCGCCCGGCCCCCCGCCGATCACGGCCACCCGGAGCTTCCGGCCCTCTGGCAGCCTGCCGCCCGCGCAGACCACCACGCTCGCGCCGCGCAGGCTCCGACCGCTCCGCGCTGGCCCGGCCACCGGCGCCGCGCGCGCCCGCGCGCCCGCCAGCGCCGCCGCCCGCCCGCGCGCGCGGGAGGCGCCCGCCCCGGCCACGGCCGCCGCGGCGGCCGCGCCGAGCGCCCAGGCGCCAGCGCGCGCCTCCCGCGCCGGCGCCGCGCCTCCCGGCAGGGGCGCCCGGCAGGGCGCACCGCGCCGAGCGGCGGGCGCGGCGCGGGCGGGCGTGGCGGCCGCGCTCAGCGCGAAGGCGGCCATATCTTCTCGCGCCTGGCGGGCTCTGCGAGCGTGAGCGGCGGGGGCAGCGCTGCCTTGGCCAAAAAAAGCTAAGGCCGGGAAGGCCACGGAGGAGGAGGAGGAGGAGAGGAGAGGAGCAGGGCCCAGGACGGGGCCCCGAACTGTCACGCTCGAGCTCAGGAGGCCTCGCTGGAGCCATCCGAGACGCGGGGCCGTCCGCAGTTTTGTCTTGGGGGCGAGCCGCCCCCCTCGCCCCTCGTTGCGTGGGCATTCAGAACACTGTGCCGTCTGCTAGCCCCATCGCGGATCTTGCACTGCGAATCGCCAGACTCTGCCCCCTTGCCGAGGCCAGACTTACCCCACCCCCCCCTCCGCACACCTGCTTCTAATCCCAACAGCCCTCTGGGCTGAGGTGGTTTAGACCGGTTCCACTTCTATCCTCTCCCCTCCTTTCCCCTCAGGGAAAGTTTATCAATGCTCCGAATTGGCATACGGCCCCTCCCCCACCCGACCGGCGACAAACCCAGCCCGATGCCGACACCCCCCCACCATCCCTTGCAAAAATCCGCCGACCCTGTCGGCATGTGGAAGAGGCTGTTCCGTTTGACTCGTCGTCGTCGTCGTCGTCGTCGTCGTCGTCGTCGTCGTCGTCGTCGTCGCCTTCGCCGCTCGCTTCCCCCCTTTTCCTTAGGCCCGTGATCCCTTCTCCGCGGGGGATGCCCCCAAGACGGTCCTCGAGTTCCCCGAATCGCCGAAGTATCGGTCCAAGTCGCCAAAGTAGCCTCCAGACGGCTCAAAAGGCCTCAAAAACGCCCCATGAGGCATCAAAGAGGACTTCCAAGAGGGCTCCCACGGGGCAAAAATCATCGATTTCCCGTATTTGTTTAAAAGATTTCGGCATTCTCGCCTTGTCAGCTTCCCGACGCTCCAAGACAGGCCCCCAAGGCCGCCCCAAGATGGCCCAAAAACGAGCCAAGAGGGCCCCCAAACCGACCAAGAGGCCTCCAAGACAGCCGATGAGGCCTCCAAGACGGCTCCAAGGAGGAGCCCAGACGGGAGACCCGAACGGACATTTCGAGCTCTCGGCCTGAGAAGCTCTCAGGAGGCCCCCAGAGGTCCCTAAGAAGCCCCCTAAGAAGCCCCCAAGAAGCCCCTAGAAGCCCCTAAGAGACCCCCAGGAAGCCCCAAGAGGCCCCCACGAGGCTTCCAAGCGGCCCCCAAGAGCTTCCCAAGAGGCCCCCGAACTACCCCCAAGAGGCCTCCGAGAGCGCTCGCCGTAGTCGTCGTCGTCGTCGTCGTCGTCGTCGTCGTCGTCGTCGTCGTCGTCGTCGTCGTCGTCGTCGTCGTC